TTCCAACCAAAGAAGAAACAGATCTCAGCGTATGATTAGGTCAGACTCGAAAGGACACTGAAGATTGATATATAGATTTAGGCTTTAGATGTAAGTACTAAGATGTACTATTGCTGTAAAGAACATGCTGAGTCAGAAAGTACAAGTTTCACTTTACCGGTCTATCTACATTCCAGCCTGTCTTTTGTCCTGAGAGAAGGAATATGACCAATGTGTGTCATAGAAGGGAACAGTAACCCTTCACGGTTTTGCTCCTGAACCTTCTACTGTTGTGACCCAAATCTTTGCTAAATGAAACAGAATGCGTAACGGATGTCTCTTAAAGAGCTGCTGAATTACCTTTACAATGTTCACAGCCATACTTCGGAAGTCTCGTTTTTCATTGATGCATTGATTACAGGATTACTGAAGAGTCAACAACACAATCCAGGTGAAGTTCATGACTCTATGCAATCAGCTGGCTTTCCGGAGATAGAAAACTTTCAGCCATGATTTGATTGAATTGTCTCTTTAAAGTACCTCGAAATGACATGTTGTGAATTGCCAATATATAAATGAATTGAAATTAATTACAGTTTGTGATATTTATAATTAAGACAGCAAATAATTCCAACTGTACTTAATTTGATCCGTTTGGTAGACAGTTATCCATATTTGTTTCTGGGCTCAGTCAGTCAATGCTCTAAAAACACTACAGAAGGATGCTGCTGCATAGGATAAACTTCAACCTAGACCAATTTATCAACCCGCAAAATGTCTTTGTTATTAATTCTTTTCTAGTTATTCATTTTTTTTGCTTATTCACTGATACCAAGCTTGTATCATGGTTGTTAAACACATGAGCTCCTGCATGACGTGGCTAATTTAGCCTCATATCACATGGTCAGAGTGAGTGTTGGGACTGAGAAGCCCTTCTGTCCATTGCAGGCAGGAAGTCCTTAATGTTAAAGGACGTAAAATTGGTTTCCGTTATAAGTAACAAGAGTTTCTTGAAAAGTATGTATTTCACATGAAAAAATAGTGAATTTCTACACTAAAGATTCCTTTAAAGATTTCCTATAAACTCATGTTAAAGAGAATTTTGGCTGATCTATTTTGATGGTCCCTTTCCAGGGTGGAATGACAATAACTTTTGAGCAACTTTAAATTGTTTTAAATGAACAATTTGCTGCACATTTTATTTGATTAAAATATTTTGTCTGATCTAAATATTCTTCTCATTTTAGATAAAGATTTGCCAGTGAAATAATGGATTATTAGTGTATTACATTTAGGCAGGTGCCGGCCCAGTGGTTGGGGCATCCCACAGACCCTTAACCCCACACTGCTCCCCTTGGCACCGTACAATGGCAGCCCACTGCTCCCCAAGGGGATGGGTTAAATGCAGAAGTTCTCCAGTGTGAGATCAATAAAGTTAAATTATTTATTCAATTATTTATTTATTTAATTACAGTCTAATGACAATAAAAAAAACATTTATCTTTTATATTTCTTGTAGCTATCACTTAGATCCTCAAATATTTCTGGCTATTTGACCACTCCTCTCATTGTCAGTAATAAACTAGTTCCTATATATTGAATGTATTGTTCACGCATTTTCACTAAGGTCCACGTCCACAATGGAGCTTTTGACTGATTAGACATTTAGTGTTCCCCTGATTTTCCACATCCTAAACCAATTTTAGTGTGTTTTTTTCTATGTACATGATTATGTGCAGATTTCTACCACCCAGTTTTGGATTTTAGGTGTAAATACACAACTTTGGGCAATGCAATGGGGCAACCCCACAGCATGATGCGTCTGGCATTTTGCTTTACAGTTTGCCGTAACATACCCTGAACCTGTTCTCTGGCCATAACAAGTTTCTGTAGAAACTTCCATATTAGAGGGACTTTTTTTATGGTCACAACATCTCAGTTAATGGCCATTTGTAAAGTTTGCATAATTTTGAACAGTGACCCTGGTGTTTCTGCAGTTTCCAGTTCATTAGCGGCTTTAGGGAGGTGTTTGGATACAACTGTCTGAGCAGGACATTTTAGGTCACACAAACTATACATGGTTGGAACTATAAATAGTTAATATCTGCATCAGACATTGACACAAAACACACAGAATCATTTTAAAGATAAACATGAAGAAGCGTGGACCGTACTTAAAACCAGGTTCTTTAAATTTTGTCCCAAAGACAATAACTAAGACGATGGGTCAAACAACCACGACCTGCAACCTAGATATATACATACATAACTTACATATGAGTGGCGTTCAATAAGTAAATCCCCTGACCCACTTCCAGATGTTTGATCGTGCTGAAATTTTGCATGTGACGTTATTTAAATTACTACAGATTAAGTAGCAAATTGCAGCTCTGAACTATTTGTGGTTTCTGACTTACAGGTGTTTGAACTGAGTAAAGTCTGAAATGGAGCCTGTTGAGTGTCGAGCAGTGATCCGGTTTTTCTGTTGGAAAGGACTCATACCACGGGAGACTTTTAATGAAAGTAACTTATTGAGATGATGCCTGTTATATGACCTTGCAAACTGTTTTACAAGGTTATATTATGGGACATTATCAATATTAATTACTTTCATTTGATCAAAAGTCTCCCATTGTGTGCGTCCTTGCAAATGCAAAAACTCAGACTTGACTCTGTTTTAATACCAGTAAATCAGAAACCACATTTAGTTCAGAGCTGTAATTTGCTATTTAATCTATAAAGATTTAAAATACTTCACATGAAAAATTTCAGCTCGATCAAACATCTTGAAGTGGGCCAGAGGAATTGAAGGAAATCCTCAACATATTAAAATTTTTTTCACCAGAGATGTGTTTTGAAAAACAGAAATTATCTTAATTGGCCAGGAAGAGGAACATTTGATTCATTTAGTAAAATATTAACAGACCAAATTTAACGCAGACTTTCAATAGTGATTTTATTATTTGCTAACCTCCTCCAAATATTAGTGGGTGTGCAATTCAGAGTGGGGTAATCATCCTGTTTGGGCTCATGGCACTATTTAGCAGGTGCACAGACAGCTGTCTTCACACATTTACATTTAAATGTTAAAAAAGAGTCTTTTACATTTTACCTGTATACATGCTATCAGCGTAGACGTGTGTCTTGATTCTTTTTTGAATGATTTAATTATTTTTATCCTACCTTTCGGTTTGCAGTCAGGGAATGTAGTAGTTAGAGGGATTTACCTGCTGCAGACATGACTTCAGCATTTGAAAGTATGATGGTAAGGTTGGATTAAGATGTTACTGACTGTGTTTGGCCTCAGAGCCTAATGGTTACTAGTGCACAACAGACTGCTTTTAAACAATTCTTGGAAAAGTAGTGAATGCATAGTATTTCCCTCCTAATAATAATATTTTTTTTTTTTATTACAATTTGTAATATGCTAAAATCTATATTTAGAAAGATGTACTTATTCTTTTTGATTTGTTTCTATTAAAAGTAATATCTTAGTCAGTGTGCTGTAGGCCCTTGTGCAGAAGTCTGTAGATTTTTTCTTCCAAGGAGTCAGCCTTTCCTATAATCCTTTAATAAGTGGACTTAAGCAACAGTTCCTCTGGTCTTTCAACTTATCATTATTTTTTTTTTTTTGGCTTTGTCATTTTCTTTAACTCTTTTCAGCACAATACCCTGACATTTTCAGAGTAATAGTTTTATGTTTCTTTAGTCACCTCGTTCTAACCCGTGAATCATTCAGGTATAATTTAAGGGATGAAGCACATATGGTGTCAACACACAATCACACCTCTAACAAGGAAAAAACATTAAATAGTCTCTCTACTTCCACCTTTTTCTTTCAGACAGTTGATCCGATGAACATAAACTATATGGCTGATACATTTCTCTTCTTTCCACTGCCTCTGGTCAGGCTGGCTTCACACTACTCAGCCTGTTTTGCTAGTGACCATGACCATTCTTGTACTTGACTGTTTTCTTGCCTGGACAGGAGATTGAATGAAGCAAAATTCTTATTATTTTTATCCTATCCTCTTTCTGGTCCTACACAAGCACTCTCTGGTGGCCATTTTGTTGATTTCTTGGAAACTCGGAGTTCTATTAAATTTTTTTGCAATTATTAATTAAAGTACTTTTTTTTCTTTAAAAAAAATGTAATCACAAGGGCGTTCAGAATAAACTACATTTCGCCTCCTTTAACATTTTTCTTGTTTTATGTATAGGCTATAGTAGAATTAATAAAGAAAAAAGATATAATTGAAAAGAAATGGTGATGTTCTACCTGCTGGGCATTGCTGCCTGACACACCTCCACCAGTGCCTTGAACAAATGTGCCTTGTACACCCCTAGGTCATCAGCTGGGGACCACCAGTTGTGGACATTTCGCTCCTTTAACCCCAACATCTCTTGGTGGTGGAGTGATGGCAGGGATCTCTGCCTGCTACCCCCTGCTGATGCCCTAGGTGTTAAACCCACCCCCTATCTAAAGCCCCAGGGAAGCTAAAGCCCCAAAGGAATTAACACAAGTGTTGTAAATTAGCCAAATTACATGGTAACAAACTACAGGATCATTTTAAGTTGAGCACCAAAATGGATAAAAAATGGATTCTAGTTACTCTAAGTGTAATTTGACTGACTGTTAAATAGATTGTTCTAAGTGTTTTAGGATCGATTGATCTGCTGGTATTTTTCAACTCTCGGGTTAGCAGATCATAATGGTTTTGAAAAAATGTCCACGGAAAAATTCTGAAATTGCAAAAAAGATGACGATCATGACCAAACGGACTCTACTGTTTTTTTTTGTTTTTTTTTTACTTTCGAACATGCTATATTCACAACTGAAAACACTTACATTGGATTCAAACTAAAACATACTGATTCTTTGCATCAAAATACCTTTATTATCAAAAATAAATTTGCTATTTTATTCTATTTTATTAATTCATTCATTAACAGAAAACAACATAATAAAACCTGCACAGGTGACAACTGAAATCATGAATGAAAGAAACTGCACACACTTGTTTCACTTAAGACTCATTTTAATTTAACCACCAATTATTACATTTTTCTCAATTCTAATTGGCTTTATTGAAAAAGTTTTAAATTATACCTTCTAAAATGTCTAAAAATATAATCACAGTGGTTCCTTAAATAAATTTATAGATTATAGTTGACTGTTTGCTCGATATAAAAAGTAATGTGGCTCATATTTTCAATCATGTTTTTATTACATCACATCAAAGGCTTTTCACATTGCACTGTTAGACATATAATCAGTCTTGGTCTCAAGGGGATAAGGATAATATGAAACAACAGTTTAAACCAATGATTTGAGCTTATTTCTCTAGGTACAAAAGTTTTGAATTAAAGAAAGAAAATAAAAAGATCCTACAAATGATGTGAGATATCACCAGCTGTCCGTGCACTCTCCAGTTAGAAACTTAAGAAAACATTTGAAAAGCACCATGAGATCAAATACTTGAACCCTTTTATATAGCTCCAGCTGACTGTTCAGAACAGGGCAAGAGCACAAGCGCACTCCAGTGACCCATTTCCTAAAGGCAGGGTTCACTCAGAACGAGCAAAGTCCTTGTTTGTCACGTAAAAATTTCTCTTCCTGACCTCTTCCGATAGTCAGGAAGAGTTTAACCAGCCTTTTACAAATGATTTATAGGTGGCAGTTAGCACATCAGGAAAGGGTAAATTACAAGTCTGGACTCTGAACATGTGGAGTAAAGCCTATACGGACTTGGTATTTTCACTCTAAATAGCTTTTATATTTACACCGCTGTTTATGAAAACATAACAATCCATAATGAAAACGCTCATGCCTACTTAAAGAACTTTCCTAAGAATTGTTGGAAAAACTACCCTTCAACACCTTTTGCAGGGTGTTGAACGGTGGATCTGTTTTAAAGCTTTTTTTTTTTATGTTTCCTAAAGCAATTAGAAACTACCTCTAGACCAACATCATATAAACGATGAACACATCAATTCACAGCTAAAATATTACCTAGGCACTCTCTGGGGTATAAAGCCTCTGGTGTGTTTAGTTTTCTTTTAGCTCCTTTCCTTTCTCTTGCACAGAAAGGAAGGGAGGAGAGTCTGTGGGTGAAAGCTACAAAATAGACCACCACTGGCTTAGTCCATTAAATAGGTAATACATTAAAATCTGTGACAATGTACAAAAAAACAGAGCGCAAGTGCTGAAACACATTGATAGATTTGATTCCTATTGGTGAAATTATTCAATTATTTCTCCGTCCAAAACATGAATTTAACATTTAAAGAAGTGAAATTAATTTTTCACTTTGATATGTGTTTGCTGGCTTCACAAACCAGCCTTTTGGACCTTCAAATTGCTCCAAAAAACAATTAATATTATTACTCCAGGGTATAAAACAAACAAAAAAATGCCTATATCTATAAATTCTTATGCATTCTCTACTCTGTTCCTACTCTTGGTCCCTCTATGTTTCATGGACAAGGTTTCTTGGGTGTACTTTCAAAGTTACCTAATACATCCTTGTTATGGCTTACAATCATTTGTAAGCTTTAATATAAAAGGGGGAAAAGGTTTATCCTGTTATTTTACACCACAGAGTCCTCAGCCTTGCTTTCCTCTGCTGCCCTGTTTGCATGAAGAACAGCGGCATGAACTGTATAAAACAACAGACTGCTTATGTCTTTGTTATTCTTCCCAAAGCACTCTCCCTTCTGGAGAACATCAATGATTGAGGTGTTGCAGCATGCAAAGAGCACACTTACACCGATCTCTTTATACTCTTTAACTAGAGCTTTAAAAGTGCCCATGCCTGTTGAGTCAATGAAAGGGATTGCTGAGCAGTCTAAGACTATTGTGTGAAACTCCAACTCTTTTTGGACAAGCCCTACAAAGACATCAAAGTTGGGTTTCTCCCCATTTGTCTTAGCTTGCTTTTTGGAGTTATCTCTGTCCTTTTTCTCAGCCTTTTTTCTCTTAGTCAGTTCCAAGAAAGGTTCAACTCCCACAGCTTTATAGAGGGATTTCAGGAAAGAGTTCTTATTGGCATAGTATAGAGGAGCCTGGAAACGGAAGATTTTAACCCGAGATGGCATTTTGAGATTCTTGTACTCCTCAATATCCTCATACAGATCATTGTCATTGACCTGGCCAAGGAGAGAGACCTGAAACAAAATACAACATAATAGCAGTTACAGTATGCAAATGTAAAAGTGTTAATTTGATTAAGATGTATTTGAGCAGAAACATATTATGGTTCCAGAATACCAACCCTTTAGAATTGGAACCCAAGAACAATGTTGTAGGGTCAGCTTACTAACCTTTGGGTTCTGGGTTTTATAGATGACGCAGCACATTGAAAAGATAACTCCAACAAGTAATCCCAGTTCCACACTGATCAGAGCTGTGGCGGACATGGCAACCAGCCAAACAATGGCGTCCATTCGGCTGGCTCGCCACTTTGCTGGGACATCCCTGAACTTCCTCAGGGCTCCCCGAAGACTTACAATGATGATGCAGGCAAGGACACATTTCTGAAGTGCTTGGAAGTATGGGGCAAAGAAGAGGAGCACCAGAAGGACCACAAGGGCACTGATCAGACTTGATACCTGGAAAAGGTGAAATATATCAGACCGAAAAAAAGATAAAAAAATTATTTTCTTTTTGCTATGAAAGAAGAGTTGCAATATTACATTGCAATGTATGACACTTGCCGGACAATTGCTGAGGAACATTTCTGTTTTTTTTTATTAATTCCAAAGCAAAACATGATTTTATATTTGAAACCAGAGCTGCAAACAACATACAATTGCAATAAATTCTTTGATTGTGGAAATAAAAATATCATGTATTATAAATTCTGGCACTAATTCTGAGACTGGCTGATTGCTGAACCTCAGCTTCAGGAGGAGAAGTGTGGTTTTCCTCATGGCAGTGGAACACTGGACCAGCTCTACACCCTGTGCATGGTTCTTATGGGAGTTTGCCAAACCTGGACCTGGAGAGGGCAATTGACTCTGTCCAACATGGTGTCCTGTGGGGGGCACTCAAGGTAGACAGATTCAGGAGCCATTTACTAAGAGCCATTTGTTAACTGTTCGAGCAGAGCAGGAGTTTAGTCCACATTGCTAGCATGAAGCTGGACCTATTCTCTGTGCATACTGTAGTCTGGCAAGGCTTCTCTCAGTCACTGGTCCTGTTTATAACTTTTATGGACTTAATTTCTGGGCATAAACAAGGGCTGGAGGATGTCTGGTTTGAGAACCAGCAGATTTTGTATTGCTTCTTCTGTTGGCTTTATCCTGCCAGGACCTACAGTATGTGCTGCGGCGGTTTACAATTGAATGCAAAGGGACCTGAATGAAGCTCCTCTGGGTCTGAGTCCATAGTTCTTGAATGGAAAAAAGTGGCTTGCTCTCTCAAGGTCAGGGGAGAGTTACTGCAAAAGAAATCTAAAATAAACACTTGTCAGACCACTGCAAACTACAATGAGTAGATCAGAATTTGTGAGACTTGCGATGCTAGCAACAGTTCTGTTTGGAGAGGCAGATCACTTTTTTAAATATATATAGTTTTATGTTATGATAAAACAGAACATTTACAACGGACTGCTAATAGAGGAGGACAGCGGGAAAGAGGGGTAAAATGCTTTATTTTCCTGGCCAAAACACAAGACTTTACAGCTATGAAAAACTCTTGGTCCGGACATTAGGAACAAATATGTGGACTTCCAGGAATTTGTTACTTTCTAATTTCTAGATGCACCACGTTTATCTGCTTACATGCAAGTTTGAATAGTATGAAAATTACACCCCTTCATACTGTTTTAAAAAGAAAGACAGGTTTTATTCAGACATTAACATCTTTGTGAAATGTGTTTATTGACTCTGGAAGTCGGTAAAAAAGGTGAAGTGAATCAAGTATCATGAACCTAAAGCCACTCTGTGAGGAAGAACTCACTTTGCCAAAATCAACCTCAAAGCTGGAATACAGTTTTGAAATAGCAGGGGCTTTAGTTCTAAGATATATGTCTTGTACTCTATTTAAACCAAATTTAAGGTGTTTGACAATAACGGCTAGTATAGAATCTGTTGGAAAACAGAGTAGTCTTTAGGCCTAAGAACACCATTACAAATGGGAACTAAATGTTTTTTCCCTAAACTTAAAATTTTGATCCAAGCTATATATGTATTAAATAACTGCATTCAACTGTAAACTGTGTAGTTGCATTTAACAGTCTTCCTTGCCTGGTCATTATTGCGATACAAAAACAAAACAAATTCACATTGACCCTATTTTTCATGGTCTGAAACTCACCTGAGTCTGGCAGCCAGTCGAATCCTTCACCATTGTTTTTGCCAGCGCAGCACTTGTGGTGAAACAGTGAAAAAAGGACGGGACGACGTTACAGAGTCCAATGGCCACCATCTCTTGATTGGGACGAACGGTATATCCGTGTTTCTTTGCGAACATCTCAGACAGCGACACGGTGAATGCAAAACTGCAAGAAATCCCATTAAATGTCAAATCTATGTTTCTTTTCAAGTATGTCAATTAAATTTTTCAGATTCAATTGAGTTCAATGGAAAAAAGGCGTTGGGCTAAAAGTAGCTGTTGGTAGGTGAACTCAGGCAAATCGTGGACTCACATTTATTTAAACCTCTTTGGAGAAATTCAATGGTGGAAGATATGCCTGGCAACACTGTATATTGGAGACATTATCAATTAAAAGATATGACTTCAAACTGGTGTTGCCTCACTCTCTCCAACGCCCTAATATGTCTGACATAAACAGTAATTCTATGTTTTAGCACTCCTGCAATATGAAATTTAGGTTATAAGACTGGATTTGTGTTTGTAAATCTTTCCACTTAAATCACTAAGTATAGTATGTTTTCTCTCAGACAGGGTAAAGACGCAACTAGACTTTAATGTAATTACATAAACATGCTTTTAGGATGGTTTAACATTACCTAATAATTGCCAAAGGAATGGCATCCAGCGCCAATCGTGGCATAATACTGAATGCTGGTAGCTGAGGTGGAATAAATCCTGTGGGAATGTGACCAGAAACACTGGAGTGGTAACGGGTGTTAAACTCCCCAAAGTGGCTGGCAAGTGTAGCTCCTGCTACAACCACGAGCTCTGTAGGTAAGGGGATCTTTAGACGGTCCTTGTATCGCTCCTGAATCTCCTTCCCAGCCACTATAACAAAATACATCATATTATACAATGCTAAAAAAAACATTTAATAGACTTAAACTGATATATTAAGAAGCAAATACAGGCAAATAACCTAAAATTGAGATGCATATGGCACTTGTGATGAGGTCACATAGGTTGGTCTTGTGAATGTTGGCAAAGATGTTAAACCAGGTAACGACTACTGTCCCATAGCCCTGATGACGAGGGATCTTTAGACCCAACAAGTATTTAGCCTGAACTGTCAGGATGGTGAAAGAAGCTCCAGTGGCAAATCCATCAAGCATGGGTGCCGACAGGTAGACCGAGACAAATCCAAGCCGAAACACAGCCATCAAAATCTGTTTGGGGGAGAAAGAGGGTAGAGAAAAGGCAATAAGAGTAGATATTCTGATTAATCTGAATAATCGTTACAGCTTAAGATCGAGAAATGAAAGAACTAAAGATTTTACAAAGTATATATTTGGAAAAAGTAAGATAAAGCACCGAACAATCTATTGAGATGAAGAGGAGCAATTTAGCATGTTTACCTGTAACAGGCTTTTGGCTGCACTGCTAACATAGTCATAAATGTAAATCATTATAAAAGAATAAGGCAACTAAACCAAGCTTACACTTTCACATTTACCGGTATTATTATAACATCTTCTCTCCTTTGTCCATAAGCTACTCATTAGTTTTCAGTTTTTCTGCCTTTAGCCTTCCTACAGAATGATACTTCCAGCCAATAGCCATCACCATCTTATAGAAAAATAGTTTTTGTAATGTAACTTCCAATTTCGCTTTTTGGAATGAAAAAATAATTTAAATTTGAATTAAATATTTGAAGCCCTTGAAAATTACAAGTCTACTTCAAATATAATGAATTATCTTTCAAAAGATTTTGCAAACTACTGTAATTATAGCACTATTTTAAAACTGGTTAACATAAATTGTTTCTGGTTAACATAACATATTTAAACTGGTTATCATAACATATTTCTGTTATGTATACATATATATACATATATATATACATATATATACATATATATATATATATATATATATATATATATATATATATATATATATATATATATATATATATATATATATATATATATATATATGTATATACAGTATATACATATTTGTTTTGTTGGTGTATGTTAAAAGTGTAGTAGATTCAAACTGTCGGATTTTAACTGAAATGTTTCATGTTTGATATCAAAGTAATTCATAAAAAATGGGGTTTGCAGTAAAACTAACTCAATGTGATACCTCAGGTTTTGACAAGATACAATTCAATTCACTTCAGTGTATTTCTATAGCACCAACTCACAACACATGTCATCTCAAGGCACTTTACAGTTCACCAGATCATATTTAAGGAAAACCAGTTAATTGCATCGACTCATTGACTTGAATGCAATCCCTCACACTAAGCATGCTTGTAGCGACAGTGGAGAGGAAAAACTCCCTTTTAAACACATTAATTTCACTGTGTTTCTGTTTTACATTTATTTGTTTTCATTTTGATGTATATATAGAGTATCTGTAGAAAAAAAAAAGAAATTTGTATACAGGCTGGATTATGTATTTAAAGATGATTTACCTGATAGACACCAGCCAGGAATGTAACACTAGCAGCAATGCTGATGGAGTAGTCATCCTTCCCTAACTGCATACCCATCAGCTCCACGGTGAGCTCAGGTTTAAATGTTTGGTTGGTGTCATTAAAGGCTTCGTGAGGAGATGGGGTGGAGTCCTCACTCATATCAAATCCAGCCAGGAAAACTTCTCTAACCACCGTCTAGATGGACAGCATTAACAGCAAGTAGTCATTATGTGTTAAAGGTTAGACAAACCAGACAGTAGTATCATATTTCACACACACAAAAAAACAACTTAATAATAGTCTGACTAAACAGCTCTGCATATTGGAAACATTGGAAACGTACGGTAGAGACAGAATATAAGCATTTTTTCTATTATCAACACCGGCCATGCTTTAAGATGACAAAAATGCATGCATTTCCCCATTTGTTTTCTCTTGTTAATATTTTTGTTTTATTTGTTAAAGAATATATATTTTTTAAATTGATTGTGTCGTTCTTATGTTTTAAATAGAGAGCTTCAAAATCGGACCAAAAAAATTTTGAAGCACATATAGAATAATCAGCATCGACCTTAAAATACTGTATTGATAGATCTCGATTCTTTACAGGCTGCTATTCAGATTTTAATAGATAGATTTTTTTCTAAATAAATTACTGTGCATTATGCACTTATAAGCAACACCAAATGATTATTACCTGTCCAACCATGAGGCTCATGAGGCTGAAGATCCCAACTGAGACGTGTCTAGATGTCCCCATGAGAAAGTAGATAATATTGGCATAAAATGATGTGTACAGACCATATAAGGGTGGAACTCCTGCTAACAGGCAGTAAGCAATGGCCTGCGGTACCAAAATGATACCAACAATCATACCAGACATCAAATCACCCCAGATGTATTCTTTGAGCTTGTATTTTGGCAGCCAGCGCACCACAGGGAAGAACCCTGTCAGAGTGGATCGGACCTTTGGTCCGGAGCAGGTCAAACCCTTTTTCAGCTTTGATTTAATAACTGAGACAGCTGGCTGTGGCTGGCGAACACGCCGCTCCAAGAGAAGCGGTTGAGCCAGTGGAGTGTCTGTGTCTGGAGAGACATCCTCCATGGTCCTGACGAAGAGGAGGAGGAGGCAGTGTGGGGAGAGGCAGGAGAAGGTCCAGAGGCTGTCAGCTGTGCCTCTAGAGCAAAAATAAAGAATTGACACAGAAACACAGGATTAATGATAGATTCCTACCATAGTATATCTGTTTACATTATCTTTACACTTGGTCTTAAGTGCAACACTATATAAAACCATACATGCATTGGCCACTTTGATAGATACACCTGTTCTGTTGCTTGTTACTGCACATTGGCTAATAAAATAGAAGCAACTACTGTGATTTAGGCATTTGAAAGAACTGTAGCCAATAGTGTTGCACCGATACCGATACCAGTATCGGACGGGGCCCCGATACTGCCCTAAAATGGTGGTATCGGTATCGGTGAGTACCAACAAATAGGGCACAGATACCATTTTGAGAGCCATAAGTTTATTCAACTATTGTCACCCACTCCTGGTAGGCAATAAAAACTTTTTATTTTTATTATCCAGTAGAACTTTTTATTGAAAAATTATACTGGATTTACTTTGTATTAGATTTTTTTCCTGCTTCACAAAGGTAGGCAGCAGCTTGACAAAGCCATGATGGCAATTATTATTTTACATTATTATGGTATCGGTATCGGCTGATACTGCAAAGCCAGGTATCGGGTATCGGTAACGGGGCCAAAAAATGGCATCGGCGCAACACTAGTAGCCAATCTGAGTTCAAATCCAAGATCAGAATGAAAAAGGGAGTTTAGTTGACTTTGAAACATGATCGTTAGGAGGCTGATGTGGGCAAATGGGCTGGTGTGACTGTGTGAGAAATTGCTGATCTGCTGGTAGTTTATTGCAAAAGCTTCTGTTATATTTACAGTTGGATCCCAGGCAGTAGCACTAGTGTGGACCAAATATCCAAAGCACATAGATAAAACAGCAGGCTGGTATAAGATGACAAAAATGCACAAACATATTACGTCCATCCAAGAGACAGTGGTGGAAATAGCAGTTCAGTTTAAGCATAAATAATGAAGAGGTGAGGACACAGTACAGTTAAGTCTGGGATTTTTCAGACACCTGGAACATTTTAAGTTCAGGTTACTTTTATTTAAACAAAAATGTTTCTCCTTAATCTGAAATAAAACACATGTTCCCCAGAAGATAAAACAATGCACAAGAGACCTTGAAGCAGATAAAGAATATCTTCCAATTTTAATTTCATTTATACATGTGGTATTTTAACGATCATTAAAAGGCCTTTGCTTTCTGTATCTATATTAAGCATGATATATATAGTTGGTATTTTTACCCTGGTCTCTGACCCTGAATCCAACCCCCCCACCCCACCCCTTATTGTATTTGTCAGGACCCTGGCCAGGCCAATGCAAAAGGTTAATATTTTGTTCTGCTAGTGATTTCCTCAACATTTTGGGTTGTTGTCACATTAATATGTCCGCTAGTGGTGAACATGGAAGTCTTTCTCTGCAGACTGACCATTTCTGATGGATCGCTGCAGAGTACTGGCTGAAAATCCTTGAAATTATTAAGTTCCAAACACCATGCATGACAGTTGGGATGATTGTTCTTAGAGTTAAAGGCCTCTATAAAATTAAAGATAAAGCATTGTGGTCAAAACATTAAATGTTTGTTTCATCTGATTATAAAAACTAAGATCAGAATTTGTCTTCTTTGCACAGATAAGTGTTTACAAAGGCCATGCAGGTGTGCCTCATCTAGAAGAGGTGTCCTCTGTGCTCTGCAGCCGTGGAACACAGGAGTGTGCTGCAATCATTGGATTGCTGCCTTAAGACGCTGCCACCACTAATGCCCAGTTCACTACAGCATGGCTGTGGTCGTGATCTTTGGATCATGCTTCACCTCTTTCACTATTCTCTTCACCAGCAGAGGTGTAACTTTTGTCTTCTGAACGACCCCTCATAGATTTTCCACTTCACTGAACATCTTGTTTTTTAGCTTTTTAGAATACTTTGCACTGCAACCAACTTGAAAACATTTAGATTTGAACTTGTAGCATTTTCTTGATTAGTGAGCACCCATAATGCACAATCCCAGGTCCTCAGCTCGTCTGTCTCAGCTACAGTATGATTGTCCATAAATCTACTTCAAAGAGCTGCTCTTTTCACCTGTTAACTCAATCAGCTGTTCCCAATAAATCTAGATAATTAGGATGCTTTAAAATAGCTTGGACTAATTGCAATCATATAAAACATTGGATTTCCCCCCAAATGGAGAAGTTTATAAAAGGGCAATAATAATTCTGCACGTTACTTTTTGTTAAAAATGTAAATAAAATCCAGTCATTTTTTTCCTACCAAAGGTTGCTGATATAGTAAAGGTAATTCTATGTCAGAGTTTAATGGTAAATCATTTCAAGCTAAACTGTATATCCACGCCACCTTTGACCACATTCAACTCCAATCAAAAATTATGATGGGTTAAATTACGAACTCCACCCCAAACAATACAAAACACTAAAATCCAAATTCCTCTGACATTAAAAACCGAAACAAAACGCCAGAGGATGTTTTACATACTTCACATTGTTTGAAAACAAGCATTTTCTGAAAATGTAGTGAGTCACTGTCTTATATCATTTATCTAAATATTTTATGCCAATTCATACGGTAAAACCCCCCCAAGGTTAAGATTCAATCAGGATTACACATTAACTGTGCAGTCGTATCCTTGGTGAAAGACAAAAGACCAAGGGTGAGCAAAGACTTAAATTGCTTTATGTGAATAGAAGTTAGTATCACTGATAAGTAGAAAGACCTCTCCATCTTCCTGAGCTAGACCCATTGAGGGATATATAAAAGTAGTCAAATCATCCGTGAATATAAAGTCCTTTTTTGCCATTTTGAGGATTTTTTTATATTGATTAAAGCAAACTAAAGATGCTGTACTCTGCGCTGACATTCTTTGTTTTGATATCTAGGTTTGGGCTGAGTTAAAAGCAAGTATGCAAAAGCAATGAGAAAACTAACAGAATATCTATATAAGGACTGCAAAGCAACCCTAAAAAAAAATGCTGGCCAAGAAGTCAGAACTAAAAATGGATAGAAATACAAACTGAAAAGCAGCTGTGGGTGGCACTGTCTGGCTATATGCCCCAAATACTGTAGAAAAACTGCTCATTACTGAACTGATAAACATTAAGGTATTCACATCATTTTGGTATTTGTCTGAACTTTCCTCTGCTGCTCTTGTAAAGTAGCCTCTGTGGTATTTTCTGCCAATGTCCAAATGAACTACATTGAAACTATTTTTAGATGATTTTAACATCACAGAATAACTGGTGAATCATGATTCTGAAAACGCATAACAAGCCCTTCTTTTCTTTTATTACCTGTGAGGTTCAGACACTACAGTTTCTTACGTCACCAAAATAACCTTATTTAAAAAGAGACTGTAGTTTGGTTCGTATTAACCTAAAAATGAATAATAACAGTTGTTGTTGCTGCTCCGCACAATGGGAATCAGCATTTCAAGAGTATTTTTTAATACTTTGAAAGTATTAAAAAAATACTCTTGCAATAAGCCTTTTCTGTCAGATGTCATAGATAGCAGCAGTTGTAATAACAACCACACAGTGTTTATAAATCCTGCTGCTGTCAGGTGTTACGCAAGTTTGATTTAAGGTTTATTAAAACATCAAAGCTGTTAGTAAAACTGCCTTTCCTAAGTGTTGCTTGTTAACACAACAGCTAACACAATTTGCACACGGGATTTCAGGACTTGCAAACAGAAATTGCTTATAAAGTAAAAACAGGGTTTATAAACACTGTTCAGATAGGGGTTTACACACGCTGTTTTAAACTGGATCCCTTGGAGAAGCAACAGGCAGCGGAGCTAAGAAGTGCTTATAAACACTAGTACGCACATCAAAAACATGCAATTTTTCAATCAGTTACTTTAATTGAGTTAAACCTGGCTCTGTTGATGCATGCATATTATATGATTAATATAGACATGCATTCACTTAATAATAGAAAATATATAAATAATACTTTCAGATATTCAGTTATTGGGATGATTAAGCATTGTTGTTGTTGGTTGGCTCTAAACATAGCAAACTAAAAGCCAAGTTAACTAAGAAATGTCTTTTTTTCTAAATTGGTTTTAGAAGCTTTTAGCTCAACATATCATTTTTGTTATACGATTAGGTGCCTTTGACAGTGAGATAATGTTAAACAAAAACTCATCCTAGTTAAGCTATAGTCAGACTGGTGCAAAAAAGCCAAACCTGAAGTTCGTCAGCAGATACCACGATAAGTGCTGTCTGAATAGTGGCTGTGAGGAAGGAGGTAGGAAAAGCGGGAGGATGCTTTTTATTAATATTTCATGTAGCATACAGACTTCCTTATTTTCCTTACCACTTCAAAGGAGCTATACAGTTGCCCACAATCCTTTGCACGACTGACTTAGACTTAGATACTCAGAAACTTTTATTGTCATTTTGTACACACAAAGTGTATCGTTTTGTACAGCTTTCAGAACATTTCCATTCCATAAAGTGCAGCGGTGATCAAATGCAAAGAGTGTGAGAAAAAAAGATGGTGCAAAAAAACGCATTGTTATGGAGGTTCAGAGCATTAAATATAAATGGTACAAATATGCAGTATTTATAATCCAGACAGGTAATATACGTACAGTGCACCTCACTGAGCTGAAAAAGTAAACCATTCTTTTAAATGTGCTTTGTGTGACATAGGCAAATGTACATATCTTTGCATTTTTTGAGTTTTATAATGGCATCGTGTCATTTTTTTTTTTAGAAAGCTCTTTTCTTTAGAAAGCTCTTAGACTTTTTTAAATCTGTATGTGTTTCTGAGCCATAATGACATCCTCGAAGCTAAAGGCTCTTCAGATTTGGCACAGCAGTCCAAATTTCCTTTCCTACCCATAATAGTGTTCTTACTGTTCATCTCATAAAAGGTAAAGAAATAGGAGCTAGAGTAAGGTGCTAGGAGGTATGATTTGTCTAATTCAGAATCAGCTTGTGTGTAAGCAAAAAAGGCTAAAATATCAAAACTGTGGATAAACAAAAGGTTTACCAAAATGAAAATAAATTCTGGTTCTGGATGGAAGTCACTTAAAAAAAAAAAAAAACTGCCAAATATAACACTGGTTGTGGTAAAACTTTCAGTCGGCTGTTAGTAAAATATCTGTGAGACATTTATTTGCTTAGCATTTTGTCTCCTTGTTGGTTTTGAGGGTTTTAACAGAAAATCTTTTAACGAGGAGAGCTTTTTTTTTAATTTTTTATTTTTATTTTACGACCCTTAAATCCTACAAATTGTCAAAGCTCCCTTGATCAAGTGATTGGCACATGCAAGAATCTCATGAATGAAACTTGTGATTAGTTATACGCTATTTAGGGTAACAAGGTTAGAAATGGTTTTATGTTAAGCAGCAGCAGCACAGGCCATGTGTCAGAAACCATAAAGCTCTCTGACATGTAATCAGCTTGGGCCATCACCACACTGGTATGTGCTTTGATTTGGACTTCCTGAGGCAATGCAGGAACTGATATGATGTAAACCAAGGAGGACTAATTTCTTTGTATACTTTAAGTAAACTACAGAGTAGTTTAATCAGGAAATAAATTTGTATTCCCATTTTTACCATGTTTAAATCATGCTCTGTATGAATACTACCATTGAGCTGATGGACTGCTCAGAAATGTTCTCTTTGAAGACGCCGAAACATTGCACTCCTTTTTAAACGTGCCTTATAAATCTTCTCTGACATTTTTATACGACAGAAGAAATCACAGACAAATAATGCTCCTTTTCAATGAACTATATTACTTTAGTAAGGTATTTCCCCCCTCACAGACAGCTTAAAAATAGTTTTTATCAACTCCTGATCACTGCTGCAATCATATAGAGGGTCTATAGGGACCAAGCAAAAAAAAATTATCCAATTGTCAGCTCAGAATAACAGTCGAAGCAGCTTTTTAAAGCTGTTTTTCTGTCCATCTCTAATCACTGCTCTCCTTCTTTTACCACCTGACAAAACCCTGCTGCAGCTCAGTAAATAAATCCACGAGTAGATCCTGTCTTTTTAATAAGGGATAACAAAGAACATTTAAACAACTTGTGGAGCATGCAGAGATTAAAATAAAACACATTTTTAACCATATATATGGTTAAAAATGTGTTATATATATAGATAGATATATCTATATATCTATCTATATATCTATCTATATATATATATATATATATATATATATATATATATATATATATATATATATATATATATATATATATATATATATATATATATATATATATATATATATATATATATATATTTGTGTGTATGTGTATCGCAGCAACAGAAACATTTGGCTTCAGAGCTGTTAGTTTTTATCTCTGGTCTTGATTCTGACCTTGACAACGGCATTCCTAAGGGAAGATTAATAACGGTGCTATTATTCATTATAGTCATAGGTTGAGAAATCAAGCATTTTAGTGTGTCATTTTATTAGCCTCTAGGTTCAAAGGCATAATTTATTGCCATTATTTAAAATTCTGAGATAAACAAGGTGTCAGGTAAAAATGTTAAACAATGATGAAGACTGGTTCAGTGTGGCAGTCAGAGTAATAGTTCCTCCTTTGATTTGCTTTCTTTAAGACCACGATGACTTAAATCTGGAAAAAGTAAAACAAGATAATCTTGGAAAATAAACTTCTTAATGATGTACTCACTTGCAATGTCACTGTCTCATGGACGACCAGAAGTTTTCCTTTTTTTAAATTGTTGTAAAACAGCTGGAAGCCCCTTTTTTAAAAGCCCTTTTCTTATTGTTTATCTCTCTGCGTGACTTCTGCAGCTGCTTTGTCATCCAAGCATTCAGGCTCTGTAGATGAGGGCATGATCTCTTGCAGGACTTATATCAAGATAAGAACAGTCCTTTGCTCACCCTTACCCCGCTTCCTATTGGCTTGATCTCTGGGAGTGGGTGTGACCTTATGTTTTACATGTGTGGCTTTAGAGAAGAGGTTAAATCAAGTCAATTTTTTACTGGATGACGGTGTTTATCTTTCCTCTTGGATGTTTGGGTCGGCAATAGTGATTGCAGAAAAGAGAAAAAAAAACGATGGTGTGTCAACTTGTTGTACTGTTTAAATACATCCTGTGTGCAAATGGATTACATAGCAAACAGAAGATAAACCAAACTATCAGTGAGGTGGTAACTTGGGTTATATAAACAGACTAGACTATTTTATGTATTTGTTTTAATTAGTTAATGCGAATATGAGAAAAGGGGGGTTTGTATTACACAAAAATAAGCATGTAGTGGTTAATTAGTCATTTAATTTGTCATTCAAAGGTGATTGACTTTTGATTTTGGATAGTCATTTTAAATAATATTTTAAATTATATTTTACTTATCCAATGTTTTTATTCAGTCTTTCTTAAATGTGCAGTTTGTCAAAAGGAACATTTTTCTCACGGTCTGTAAAATCAAACCAGAATTTCCCAGTTTTAGGTCAGTTGTGATGACCAGAACTATTATACTGCTTGCTAAATGTTAGAGTGATTGGATTTATTGTTGCAAATCTGTTGTTTTTTTCTTCAAAAGCTGTGGCATACATTTGCTAAGATTACTTTTTTTATAGTTTTAGCAAAGCCCAGATGAAAATGTCAAACTTTTGTAAGCTTCTGATCAGTTAATTCCCAACATTTAAGTTAAAGGTTGGAACTCTTGAAAACAAAATATTTAAATAATAATAATAATTAATAATATAAAAAAAAATCCGTCTGGTTCATTCTATTGTATAATATCCAGATGCATGAAAGTGCCACAATCTTTTTTCTTTTTTCTTTTATTGTATGCATGTTTAAACACCATGATAATTTGTAACCATGATAATTTTTTTTCCTGAAAGAGATGAGGTCTCTTTGCCATTGATGGACACATTTAATTTAGAAATAAATGTAATCGCTCCATAAGAAAAGCAGATCCAGGCTTAAGCTGTGAGAGGAGTCATTATTGAGTCCTACAAGACCAAAAAAGTTAAGTCTTCTGTATGTAAACACATGGTTTCCACTGTGCCTATGGTTTATGAAATATTTGACTAATGAAATAAAAAAGTGACTAATCCTGAAATGATTTTACTGAATCGATGATTACATCTCTGGTGTAACTTATGCGACATCTGCTTCAAAACCTTCTATAAGATGAGTGCAGCAGTGCTTGAAAGGGGCTGTTTGCACAGAGCTGAGTATTACTGCAGCAAGTTCAACCATTAACAGGCTCAACGAAGAGAAAGATTCAAGTTTTTTAATGTCAGAGCTGTCTAAAGTGGGATGTTTTTGCTGCCACTGTCACACCACCTGAATTAAATGCTGCGGTTTCAGAAGTTTTTAAAATGTCATGTCATGTAATGTCATTTCCACCTAGTGGCAAATTTGGTCACTTACATAAAAACAAATGAGCTAAGGTCTCTGGGTTTTGATAGTAGACACATTTGGGGCAGTTGAATTGGTCAGTTAGTAATTATTACTTAAAATGAGGAGGAGGTAAAGTCATCTTTTGTTGGAGGCTCTTCAGATTTGTTTATACCCCAAATCATTGCTGGCACAGTCATTAACTATTTGGTTGTTAATGCATTCTTTATGCAATCCCCTTTTTGAAAGCTTTTAATGGGACTGAGGTCTGATATGTCCATGACAGAAGGATGATTTCATGTTTTGGGAACTTTTTTCATCTTTATAAGTCAGTGAGATAATTTTGCTGGCTGCAGAAATAAGAAATTAATAACAATATTTTGTCTTCTGACAGATTACATCACATTTTAATTTAAAATGGTACTACAAACTGTCCCTTATGCCTTTTCATTTTAGTAAGGTTTACGCATAGCAGCATTACACATCTTCTGTCATGATCATGGCACTGATGACTGCTTTAATTATTAATTCCATTCACCTGTCTAACTCTTCCCAGTTTCTAATCACTGCTCACCAGGGCCAGATTAATCTAGTTTTCTCTAGCCAGTGGTGAAAGTGATTTTAGAGTTCTTTGGTGTTTCTGGTTTCCTGATCCTGACCTTTTCTGCCTCTAAACCACTGAGCATGCCTGTTCACATCTGAACGACTTGCCTGAATTGTCTTTGGACTCCTGGATCTCTGAGCCTGCCTGTTCCTGTTCTGATCTGTTTGTCTAATCTGGCTTCGGACTCCTGCTTGTTCTCCAGGGTGCAGCATCTATGACACTCTGGGCGGTGCCCACTGCATCTTGTTGGCATCCTGGATCCTACCTCGTTCTCTGGGCATGGACCGCACTTGTTAACCAGAGTTTCCTGCCTCAGACATCCTAGCCCTTGCTATTCAGATATGCCAGTTTAAATAAATGCTTTTAAAATTATTCGACTGTCTGTTTAGTCTGAATACTGGGTCCCTCTGTTCTGAGTCATTACATATTCCAACATAAGTAAATGGCTATGGGGTTCTTTCCATATATTCATTCTTTTGCAAAACCTATATGGAATGTTTAAAGCGAAAACCTTAATTATAATATCCCCAATTTCAAGTGTCTTATTGTTTTTGTGGACTATTTATGCTTAGCTTATTGATAGTGTGTAAAGGTTGGGATGACAGTTGATCCCTGGATGCCACTCTGTCGTTTCCTGATATAAAGAGCAACACTTTCTTACTAGAATGACAGGTTCTGTTGTTTTTCCTCCTGTGAACATACACTGTAGCCTAACAGCCATTAGTCAAATTTGAACATTTAGATTGATCTTTTTTCTGTTTACAAAACCTTTAAACATTGCTGTTGTCAACTGTGTAAATGTCTGTGCAGATCTTTTAAATAATTTTTTTCTTCCATGAACTTAATTTTTTATTTTTTTAGGGATATGATTTGCTGATTTGGAAGTAGTATATAGCATTAAACAAAGTAAATTATTGCTTAAAGTACTACATTTTCTTCCACATTGTTTGTGAACTTCTGGATTCTTAACCCAACAGAAACAAATCTACTCATATTTCTAATACATTTAATCTTTAAGGTTTAAATAAGTTAAAGAAGCCAGCTTCCATATTTCTTTTTGATATTTGTGATTTTTATATAAAAATATTAATTAAAAAAATGTCTAAAATAGGAAAACCTTTGTCTTTTTCGACTTGATTTTAACGGCTTTTTAAGTATAATACACTTATCAAGGACAACATAAGACTGTTACAGGATATTATTGTTAAGCAATGGAACAAAGAAATTTGTTGACTTCCTTGGACACCATAAAGGACATTTCCTGGACTCGTCTCCTGCTCTGCTTTAACTCCTTTTTAATAGCATTAGATTTGTTTCCATTTAATGTCAACCTACCACCATTCAAATCTAATTAGCCGTTCTTGATCTCATTTTGTGACATTTAAGACATTTATCTACCCGCTGTCTCTGACAGCCTAAACAATTTTATTGACAGAGTTAATTTACCCAACAAAAATAGTATGGCCTCCCATCACTTTGAAGGACGACACAATATCGCGTTCAATTAAAGTTGCCTTACCCCGTCATGATTACAAGCTGCTCAACGTCAGCTAAAAACCTCACATCAGAACATGGAACAAATCTTCAAGAAAAATTAGTTACTAATTCAGAAGAAGTGAAATAACAAATCTTTATAGAAATAAAATGTCTCCTCTTATTTTGTTAAATTCAAACCATATTTATTTTAATAGCCTTAATCACGATAAAAGATCTGTGAATAGCATGGTATATTTTTAACATAAAGCTCCCCAATTGTTCTATATATTCTCTAACCTTTTAGTGGTATCTCCAGTATATCAACCAGTTTGTTTTCTTTCATGGCTCCCTAATAAAATCAGTTTTTAACTCCTCTCTTTATTGCCAGCAGTGTTCCTCAGAGATAACTCCTTGGGCTCCTTCTTTTTATGATATGTTCTGTAAAAAAAATACTTAGAATCTATATGCTTTTCTTCATTGTTTTCTAATTTTACAATGAAAAACAATAATGTATTTTATTAATGATTTATGTAATGGACCAAAAAACACCATTTGTTGCTGTGATTACAATAGGAAATCTCCTGTGTATGTCTCTTATAGCTAGATATGGCATTTTTGACTGTAAGTGTTGTTAACTGTTGTCACTGTTTTTAGTTTAATTGGGTTTGGAATTTTAACAAAATAATTTCCTTAATAATGAAACACTTCATTTTAGCTCCTCTTGTCTTGAGAGGGACGTCTTGTTAGTGTGTATGCGTCAACTCCGTTGCATTATTATAGGCGCTTGTATTTTACTACTTTTATTAAATTTTATCCATCCATCCATTATCTGACACGCTTGTCCGAGTTGGGGTCGTGAGGGGTGCTGGTGCAGTCAATGGGCGAGAGGCAGGGTACACCCTGGACAGGCCGCCAGTCCATCGCAGGGCAACACAGAGACAAACAGGACAAACAACCATTCACACACACACACTCACACCTAAGGAGAATTTAGAGAAGCCAATTAACCTAACAGTCATGTTTTTTGGACTGTGGGAGGAAGCCGGAGTACCCGGAGAGAACCTTTTATTACATTTGTGTCTTTTAAAATATTTCCTGCAAGGGATTAATAAAGTAATTTTGAATCTGCTTCTGATTTCCTTCTGGCAGGTAAACTGCTACCTGAGTCTTAAGTATTTTCCAACAATGAACTCGAAGTATATTCACAAAAATAGAAATAACACATTAAAGTCACTGAGTTGCCTTTAAGTTTGAAGCTTTTATTTAGTTTGTAAATCCATGCAGGTTGTAAATAGAGATGGAAAAGCAAAATCATGTATCTTAACCACTTTAATTAATCTCTCTCCTCTGTGTCGCTGTGCAGTGCTGCAGAGTACAAAAGCTTAGTTTATTCCCCTTCACA